TAATAAAATAAGCTAGTCTGCTTTTTAAATCAAACTATTCACAAATTTATCTTAATAAACAAAGAAATCAGAGGTCAATTCCACCTAATTTGTTTGAAAATATTTTTTATAGTTTTTAGGTTAAGTCGTACATGCATTTTTTAAAAGTGCGTTTRAATCTGAACTCTATTGACTAATTTTATTAAAAAAATATCTATACTATATTATAAATTTTCGAATCCAAACACTTAATATCCATATACGTAATAATAACGTATAACCTATTTAAGATTGAACTTTAACACTATTTAGTAAAAATACACGTGGTATATTAATATATAATATTCAAGTTATTGATTCTATATTTTGTCCATGCTTTTATAGTGGCAGTCGACAGTAGATAAAAGTGAAGGCGGTGATGGGCTGACATTGAATGTTGAGACTAAACTAAAACTAGAATCTGTTGAGAAATTGTCCGATGAATTAAAGGCGAGTGTTTCCATCGTAAAGAATAGGCCATGTGCTTTGATAAGTTTAAAAAATATAACATGTATCTCATAATACTTTGTGTGCAGAAAAAAACCGAACTTCTAGCGGAACAAGTTCGGGAAATTAAGCTGTGCACCGATAAAAACCTCATGAACAACGATCAAATAATTGCACTCAATGCCGAGTTGAACAAGTTAGTTTATGTTCATTATATTATATTCACGCGTATCCTATCGTATCGATCACAAATTAATAATAATATGATATTATTCACTGTGGCTCATCGTGCCTAGATTTAAAAACGACATGGAAAACATGCGCAATCAAGAAGCGGCTGATGAATTGGGTGCGTCGAAGTTACTTAAAAATATTTTGGACAAGACCACTGTACTTGATAGCAAAATTGTATCAGAAATGCATCGTCTGAAAACCATGGTCGAGGACGCGTGTGCGAGTAAAAAAAGCAGTAACTTTGCTATGGAACAATTGAAAGAAGTACATCGCTTGAAAATGGACGAAAATGAAAAATGCAATGCCATGCTGAATAGTAAATTAATGGTCGAAATTTCCCAATTAAAGGAATACGCGATTAAAGTCGAAGAAGAGGCCAAATATAAACATCTCAGCATCGAAAATTATTATGAAGACGATTATAGCAGTACATGATCGATGTTG